CTCCACTACAGCCTGGGAACGATCTATCAAATGGAGTTGAAGGGCGACAGGGAGTGAGCAAATACTAGGCCAGTTCCCAGAGCTGGAGGCATTGAGGGGAACCTTGGCGAATGAAGTTGAACTAGCTCTGTTGCAAGAAAACTTTGGATTCCAGATTTTAAAACTTTATGTGTGTTATTATCTTAACCATCCATGGCTCAGACAATGGTTTCAGCGAAAATGCAGTTCTTTTCACGGTAATACCACTGGAGTTATTTTTCCTCATTAATTGGCACCAAAAATAAAAACGATGATGAAATGTAAAAGTCGTGATTTGGGAAATGGTATATTGAGTTCCAAATAGCCAGGTTCGGCGCTCTGAGTAGAGCTGGGGGGAAATGACCTTAGAATAAACCCGCGATGGCAATCATAGATTCCTGGAAAAACTTAATATATATGCACCTTGATCTACCTGGTCTTTAAGTGATGACATATCTCGATTGAGAATGCAACCGGGCTGAAAGTACCTGTCTGCCTTTGGGGACGGGGCGAATGAAGGTAAGGACGCATTCAGGCTACAGGCTTTCCCAGGGAAGTCTGTGCTGGCTTCTCTTGCAGGTGATGGGGTCTCCGAATGTCGAAAATGCTGGCGATCTCAGAGATCATCTGCTAACCCTTTCTTCAGAGGAGACAGGACAAAGTAATAGACGCCGAGAAAATAACTAATTTATTTGTGGAAAAACAAACAAAACGTGGAGCTCACTCTAAGCTTTCACCTCTGTAGGTAGTTTACTGCACGCTGTCTGCCTGACAGTGTCAGCCGGGTCGGTTACGTAGCGTATATGGAGGTGCGGAGATAGCTTGTGGAATTGGGACTTTAACCCCGACTCTACTAGGTATTGGTTTCCATTGTAGCAAATCATTACATATATGTTCACATTCGTCGGGAAAGGAATAGACTCGCTTTGAAGTTGGCACGCCCTGTTTTAGATAAGATCCTGTCTTTTTTGCAACTGCCCTTAACATCAACATCCCCATCTTTTTCGTTGATTTACAAATAAAGATATTTAAAAATATGATTGTGTTTCCTTGTGAATGGACAAGGTTCGCTTCAGTCAGGCTCTGGATTTTCTAGCTCTGTATCGTCTGTGTATTTCATGTAAAGAAAATCAGACTTAATGAATTGGAGTTTTTAAAAAGAAGAAAGAAGGGCCGGCCAGATATCTGAGCAGACTAAAGCGCCTGCTTAGACAGAGTGTGGCGGCCCAGGATGGCCATGCTGGCCCGGCCCCTGCTGGGCATGGTGGTGCGTGCCTGTAATCCCAGCGCTTAGAATGCTGAAAACAGGAGAATCACTACGAGTCCGATCTACGTAGTGAGACCCTGTAGACCCTGTACTAAATATATTAAAAAATAATAAAGAAGGAAGATATCCGTCTATGTTGCATTATGTACAGGTAAGGTGAGAGGAACATGTCACCTGTCTCCTGAGACAGCACCTGCAGTGGTAAAGCAGGAATTTTCTACCATTTGCGAGATGTTTTATTCATTTTTTTTTTCTTTTCCCACTCCACACCCTGCTTGTATTACTTCATCTTTTTCCCAGGAATTAAATTTACATTTATATTCTGCTATTTATGGTATCCATATTTCTAATTCAGATCTTTCTCCTAAAGAAAACAGGACACTGGTGAATACATTCAACCACTTAGTAATGCTCATGTCAAGTGGGATATGGAAATGTGTCATGTCTAGAGTTACGTGCACGGATCACTTCCTCACATAACTTCTGTTCCTTCTGAGTTCACTGTCCCTTAAGAATACTTCCCTTCATACAGATTACTGCCCTCAAACCTGAGAGTCACCTTTACCATAGTTTCACTCTCACCACCACCATACCCAATTAATTAGCAAGACCTGTTGAAGCTATGGCTCCAAGTGTATCCTGTGTGTACTTCCATAGATGCTGCCCAATTCCAGTCCGCCTTCAGTTTGGCTTGGATTGCTGCCACAGCACCCTCCTATCTGGCATTCCAATCCTTTCTCTATAGTGCAGTCAAGTAATAGCCCTCGAGCTTCACTCTGAGCCTGTGACTCTCCTCCCTAATTCTTTTCACCAGCTCCCATTGTCCTGGGAGGAAAGTTCAAATTCTCTAGAATGACCTGTGCTGCTTTCTCTGCATTTTGATCTCTGCTTACCTCTTTAATTCCTTATATTTCAGCATCCAGCTTTTACTCTAAGAATTATTTGTAGTTCTCTTTCCAGCTGTGCCTCTTGCCCTCTTTCACTTGCTGGTAGCTCTACACAAATCACTCTTTGTCCTTCTTTTCCCTGGTTGATTTATGCTTCCATTTAGGTATCCCTGTTTTGGAGAAGACTTCCTTAAATCCTGCTTAATTATCCTTCCAGTGTGCTCCCAGGGCATCCAGTGTTGCCTGGATTCAGTTTGTAAATAACTAAGTTGGAAAGAAAACACAATCTCTTTTATATAGCTCTATTAATCAGCCCACTGGATTAGCTGTCACTTTCCATCCTCTCTATAGGATCTACTGGCTGATGCCTGTGGCCAGCTGGAATCTAGAGGCTACCAGCCCCTCCCTAGTACACCCACTGTGTGAGCTCCTGCCAACCAGTTGCTGAGCCTCAGTAGTGCCAGACTGGTTTATGTCTATAGCTACATATATAATGTGTAAACCAAGTAAGTATGAACCTGAGAACACGACTTCATTTCTATGATAACGAATTTGAAGCTTGGGGAATGTCTTGTTGTTCAAAGGTAATTGCAAAACAAAGGCTGTCAAATTAGATGGGGCAAGTCAGTTGTGAAAGTGGGAAGGGGTCCCAGAGTACATTCTGTGCTGCTATTGCAGAACACCTGAAACTGGGCAACTTGTGATGAATAGACCCTTATTTCTTACAGTTCTGAACTATGAGAACGCCACATCAGGTGAAAACCATTTTGCTGTATCATCCTATGATAAAAGGCATTACATAGGGAGAGGGGTGCTGCTTTCATCCCCCCCTTTTTTTATCAGGAACTCATTTCTGCAATAATGGCATTAATTTATTCATGACCTAATTACCTTTTTTTAATTTTTTATTTATTTATTTGAGAGAGAGAGAGAGAGAGAGAGAGTGGTGTGTGTGTGTGTGTGGCCAGCTCAGCCCACCAGGGGGCGGGGCTGGCTGGCATGTGGTGCTGGGGGATTGAACCGCGGTCCCTGATGCCTTGCCAAGCTTGTTCCAAGTAGGTGCTTCAGACCACTGAGCCATCTCTCCAGCCCACCTTTTTTTTTTAAAAAATGTATTTGGTACAGGGTCTCACAACGCTCACACTCTTAGTGATTCTCCTGTTGTCAGCCTCCCCAGTGCTGGGATTATAGGTGTGTTCCACCCCATCCAGTTAGTCTGGGTCACTGGCTCAGCTGCTCCCAGGAGCGGGGCCAGTATGGCATGTGGGATTATGGATCGAACCCCAGCCCCTGTGCTTGCCTAAGCAGACACTTAGTTCACTGAGCTATCTTGCTGGCTCAACCTTTAAAGTTTCTCTCAGTACATTGAGCTAGGAATCAAGTGTCCAACACATGAATTTTGAGAGACACATTACAACCATAGTGGGCAGAATCGAAAGATCCAGAAGTCTATACATATAAAACGTTTTAGAAAAACAAGTCTTCATACACATGGCTTTTGCAAGCATCTTCAATATCTTGTTCTACTTCAAAGTAATCAGAACTGGGAATCAATGAGAAGAAGATCTTTATGGGTGTGACTTAAGTCCACTCAGAACTTCACATGCAGTGCTTCAACTTTACATTGACAGAGTAAAAGATGATGACATGGGAAGGATATAAGCCACACTAACTAACCCTTCTCCTTCCCAGTGTGTTCTTAGCCGTGCTGCTGATAGGTAGGGGAGATGTGTCACTTGGAAACTTTAATTCAAGCTAACATTTTCACAGACTTCCCAGATCCTTTATGAACCAAAAGGCAGAGAGCAGTTCCACTGGGTATGTATCTATCTGAGCAGACAAGGGCTGAATATTACCTCTTGAGGTCTCTCACAGTCTTCTACAGATTCTTTTATGCTGCGTAAAAAAATAGATACAAGAGCAGGGTGTCAGAAAAGGCAGTTTGAAGAGGAAGAAAAATATAGTTCAATGGAAGAAGAAAAGTGCTATGTTTTTAAAACGTGTTTCCCAGAGCTCGTGTGCTGGAGACTTTATCTCCAAAGCAAGAACATTGAGAAGTGGGCCTCTGAAGAGGTGAGTGAGTCATGGGTGGGGTGCTATCCTTAGAGTGTATCTGTTGTGA